GAGCGGGAGCGGGGGCGGGAAGGGGAGTAAAGGTGATTGCTGGAGGAGCGTGGAAGGATGGGGGAGCCCAGGCTGGCAGAGGCGGCCCGAGGACGCTCGGGGCACCCAGTCCCCTTCACCTCGGTCCCGGGGCGGCGCGCCGTGTCCTGACGCTCTGGCGGCGGTGTACTAAGTCCCTTGTCCTTGCCTTCCCAGGAAGAATCAGCCAAGTCCCGGTGCCGCTAAGAATGAGAGGACCTTAGCCACGGAGGTAAGAGCCCGCAGGCGAGCGCGGCGCGAGGATGTCCCCGGTGCGCCCACCTCGGGTCGGTCCCATTGTGGGTTGGAGAGCGGACTAAGGCTCATCTTGAGCATCCCTCATCGCTGACCCCTCCGTGTACTCCCGGCTATCACGCACCTCCTCGAAGGAGCTTTCGTCTGCTTTTTTAAAAATGGTATCCCCCCCCCCCCAAACCTTTTTATTGGGAGGTAATTCAGCTATCATTCCGAAGTTCATTCACATCAAGCCGTATTGTACAAGTGCTACCGCAATGAGTTTCTCTGCCATCTTGAAATCCTTGATAGCATCTCCCCGGGCCCCCACCCCTCCCCACCCCACCCCTCCCTCAAGAACCCTATTCTACTTGCTGTCAGCACAAGTCCATCAGCCCTTGGTGAAGGATCTTCCTAAGTCATTGATACTTTACTGCAGTGGTTCTCAACCTTCAGGGGTCGCCTGACTCATAACAGTAGTAAAATGACAGTGATGAAGTAGCAACGAAAATAACTATGGTTGGGGGGTTACCAGCACATGAGGAACTGTATGAAAGGGTCACGGCATTAGGACATCAAATGCTTTACTGGCATTTGATGACAACATGCCCTTCAGAGCTTGAGGCATTGTAGGAAACTTGCCCTTGACCCCTTTCTTCCTCTCGTGTGTCAAAAACAATCCAGGGCAGAGTAGAGTGTGACTGAGGTGAGGGGTGGGGAGCAGGGGAACTGGGAAAAATGAGTGCTTCAAAAAGGACACTCCCATCCCACCCCCCTCAGTTACAGCCTGCTGTGTGTGCCTGCATGTGTTAGGATTTGGGTGAAACTCACTTCAGGCTTTGTTTTCTCTCAGAAAGCTTGTGAGCCTTGGGGCTTCTTGGGTCGGTGTAGGGTGTATGGGAAATCACTGCCTTGTTCCTGGAGTCCTGCTTAAGGAAGCCCTGGCTCCCAGGTCAAGCTTTCCTTCTCTTTCCTGGTGCTCTCCTTCCTGAGTCACTCCACAGAGGGCCTCTCTAACGCATGTAAAGCAATTCTCTCGGGAAGCCTTACCAGTGACCTCAGCTGTAGAAGGTCTCCGTTTTGGGTGGGGGGCCTTGTTTCTCTTCCCAACTGCCTACCATTCCATGTGACTAACCCTTGTTTGCAAATAGCAGCCAGGTTTCTTAGGTCCTGTCCTCTATCATAGGACAGCAGTAAAACTTTTACCGTGGAGGAGTGAGGAAACTCATGCCATTGTATTGCTCAAAGGCTTTGAAACATTGTAGCATTGTGGAAACATTGTTGGGGGGGGGCGGAGTTGACAATCTGTCACTGCAGAAGATGTGATCCCTAGAATCTGCAGGTTCAGGGTTCAAATTTGATCTGTGTGAGGCCATACCTTGCCAGACAGCTTCTGGCCAAGAACACAATGTGAGAGAGGTGGAAGAAGGCCAGGTTGTTTTTTGGTTGTTTTTGCTTTTGGTGTTTTAGTTTTGCCTCATGGGCAGGAGCACGAGGTTAGTTGAAATCTAAACTTTGTTCCATGACTGACTACAGTGAACGCCCTGCTGCTGCTGCCGCCGCCTTGGTTGTAGGAGTAGTGAGCGCAGGGTCTCTGTTAAGTGCAGAGAGCACTCCTTTCTTTCTCTCTTATTTTATATCCTGCTTACAACTTTGAGCTAATCATTTAACCTTTCTCAACCATAATGTCCTTATGAGAAGTAGTGTTTGAGAAGTGCTTGGTCTGAACCATAGTGTTTTGAAAATGCCAGGTAGCATTACTTCTTCATTCTTTATTATTATCATCATTGTTTACAAAACACTCAGCACTTTGCTGGGTTGTATAACACGCATTTCAAAAATGTTAGTTGTCACTGTATCAGACTGCCATAATACATGGCATTCGATTGCATGGGATAGCAAACTGGCTAACGAAGAATGGGAATTCTAGAACACTTCATTGTGCTCATGCAGAACCTGTATATAGGCCAAGGGGCAGTTGTTCACCCAGAATAAGGAACTAGTTTTAGATCAGTAAAGGTGTGCCCCGAGGTTGTATCCTTTCACCTTACTTATTCAATCTCTATACTGAGCAAATCTAAAATATTGGAAAATAATGAAGAAAGAACGTGGGTCCTAAATTGCTATCCATTGGGCCTTTGGAATTAAAGCAGTAGAAAACTTAAAATAAAAAAGCAGATCATTGCAAGCCTCCAGCGTGCCTGGGTTTGGAGTAACCCTGTGCATTCCTACAGTGCTTGCAAGAGCAGCTTTGAAAGGGTTTGAGGCCTTGCTCTACAGTATCTACAGAACAAGGTTATAGAAATTTCAGACATTCAGGAAAAAGGGGGGGGGGGGATCATGTCATCAGGATTGAAGGAAGGCTCCACAGTAAAAAAGAACTGCTTACTGCGAGCACAGAGGACTTACTGAAGATCAGAGACTACAACCTTCACTGTAGATGACACCTCAACATAGAGAAAACAAAAGCCCTCACCACTGGACCAATAAACAACATTGTGGTAAACGGAGAAGACTAGAGGTGTCAAGGGCTTTGTTTTTCTTGGATACAAAGTCAAAACCCAGGACAGCAGTAGTCAAGAAATGAACTGATGCATTGGGCAAGTCTTTTGCATGAGAACACTTTCAAGATGTTAGTTTACCAAAGAAAATTAAAGATATTTGCATACCTGAAAAAAAAGCTAATTAAAAAAAATATATGTTTAAGGACTAAGGTATGCCGATCGCAAGCGGTGGTATTTTCATTGGATTCATTACTATGCAAAAGCTGGACGGTGGGTGAGTAGGGATGCATTTGAAGGATGGTATTGGGAAGAAGATTGAATATGCAGTGGACTGCCAGAAAAAAGTGCAACTCTGTCTCAGAAGAAGTCCAGCCAGAATGCTCCTTAGTAAAGAAGGGATGACTTTGGACATGTCATCAGGAGGGATCTGTCCCTGGAGAAAGACATCCTACTTGCTAAAGTAGAGGGTTAGCATAAAGCAGAGAAAAACAAGGCAGAGTGTCGCAGTGGTTACAGCAAACATGGCCTCAAGCCTAGGAACGGTATTTGTGGGGATGGTGCAGGGCCAGGCAGTGGTTTGTTCTGTCATGTCTGAGGTCGGCAGGAGTTGGAACTGGCTTGACAACACTTGGCAACTACAAATAGGTGGCAATTCTGGTTTCCTCCTCGTACCCCTTTACCCCCACCCCATGCCAATAAGTAGCCCTGGCTATTGCATCTGAAAGACATCATGGTATCAGTAGAAAGCAGGGTAGATGGGGAATCATTAGGCCTAGGTTCTGATTTAGCCCCTGTAGTAATTGGTTGTGTTTTTAGAACACTTGAATTGTTTAGACTCAGTTCCGTTGCCTGTCGATGGAGAATATGATAGTAATCACCCATGAGTTCTTTAAATTTTGAAATGTATTAATTAAGTCCTGTTCTGAGGGTCAAGGTTGTTCTTTGAACCTGAGTCTCTCTTGAATAGGAGTCAGAAAACTTCTGATTCCTTTCAGCTCCTCCTTCCAACTCAAGCATACAGCCAGCCAATTGTAACTTAGGGCAAAAGCGTAATCCTTCCAGGAATGCTGCCAAAGGCAAGCTCCCTGCTCCCCATTTTAGTGCCTCTAGGACTGAGCAGGGGTTGGGCCCAGAGGGTCTTCGCTCCCATGATAGGGCCATTTGGACCATAGGGATTGGTTTCCTGAAGACCAATACAAGGATCTGCTGAGTTTCCTCCCACCCCCACCTCTCAGTCTCACCTCAGCTACGGACAGAGCCAGACGCGCAGCCGCTGCCCAGCTCCTAACACTTCACGGGCAGCTCTGCCTCAGAACTGCGATTGCTTCTCTAGGTAGGTGTTAGCTCACTGCGGGATAGAACCACTTTTCCCACCATGGGTTTGCTTTGGCCAAAGTGACCCTGTGACCCTCTCTGAACCCTGCCTTGCATCTGGTAACGCCGTTGGGCAAGCATTAAACTGCTAACTGCAAGGTTGGTGGCTCAAACCCACCATAGCTGTGTGGTCAAACGTTCAGGCTCTCCGCTTCTGTAAAGACTGCCAGCTGTGTCGACCCTAGATGGATACAGCCAGCCAATTGTAACTTATTTAAATATATATATGTATATATGCATGTTGAGTCAGAATCAATTTGATGGCAGTGAGCGTGTCAGTAAGAAAATACTGTTACTCCATAGTAGTGGGTATTCTTCCTGGATTGACCATGAACTCCGGTAAGTAATAGGTCGAGGGTGGAGAGGTGGGTGGCAGGCTTAACTGGTGGTGCTGAAAGCATGGAAGGGTTGACCTGGGGGTGCCGAAAATGACATTTGTGGCTCTCAGAGAAATAGCCTGACTTGTACTTAACGCTTTGGGCTGCGATCTTCAAGGCCAGCAGTTTGAAACCACCAGGCACTCCTCGAGAGAAAGGCAGGGCTTTCTACTCCTGGAACAGTTAGAGGCTCGGTTCCGCCCAGGGTCAGTATCGGCTCAGTGGCAGTGAGAGTGTTGAGTGATGAGCACTGAAAAGAGGTGGTGTTAGGAAGAGTGACACAGAAGATGGAAGGTGGGGTGATGGGGGAAAAGCCACACGTTCCTCTCCGTTTGTTTCTCCCCCCCACCTCCCCGCTGGGCTGTGGCGCCAGGCTGGGCTCTGAGCTCCATGAATTGTGATCACTGGGTTTGTGCCTACAAGTGGGGGCGGGAAACTGTTCTGAGAAGAAACTTAATACAAGGTTAATTTTCCTTCACTCCTGGCCTGGAGAGCAGAGCAGGTTCGCAGTTCTGCACACTGAAGGTTTGGGCCAAGTCTTTGTCTCCTGACTCACTGTGCTGTTTCCCCTGCACCGTCCTCTCTGAGGGCAGAACTCCAGGCTTTCCAGAGTCCCTCCCCAGTGACTAATGCTCATCTGCCGGGGGCGGGACAGAAGGCCCAAGGGTGGGTGGCCGTACAGGTAAGACAGACCTGATGATTCCTCTGCAGCTTGCCCTGGACAATGTGATTCGGTCAAAGAGGAAGACTGTGAGACTGACGGGGTCCACGTCATAGCCACCACCTGACCCTACCCAGCCAGGAGGCAGCCCGGGACTGCTGGTCCAGGACACAGTGTGGAGATGATGGGGGCAATGAGCACCTCAGCCCCCCTTGAGCAAACCTCGAGGCCAGGCGTGGCCACTTCCACCTTCTCTGTCGTGGACTATGTGGTGTTCGCCCTGGTGCTGCTGCTCTCCCTTGCCATTGGGCTCTACCACGCCTACCGTGGCTGGGGCGGCCACACCATTGGCCAGCTGCTGTTGGCAGACCGCAAGATGGGCTGCTTTCCCGTGGCACTGTCCCTGCTGGCCACCTTCCAGTCCGCTGTGGCTATCCTGGGGGTCCCATCGGAAATCTACACATTTGGGACCCAGTATTGGTTTCTGGGCTGCTCCTATTTCCTGGGGCTGCTGATCCCTGCCCACATCTTCATCCCGGTCTTCTACCGTCTGCATCTTACCAGTGCCTATGAGGTGAGTGCAGGGAGCAAGGA